GGGGGGGGGGGGGGGGGAAGAGAAAATATCATGTTGAAAGCAACCAGATGTATGTACTTCTACAGGGTGTGATTAAGCAGTAGAAGTCATTGTCACAAGATGCTGAGCAGGCCAAAAGATGATAGGTTTGAAGAAAATGCATTGTAAGTACTATAGGTACACCACTGTAATAGTACAGAGTTTGCACTTGGACTCTTGCTAAGCATTAGATCTGACTGAAGGAAAATAGCTTATTCTTTTTGTTATTTCCTAATTGCACTTACAGCTTACTTTACAGATTCTTCCATAATAACTATTAGCAGGTAATATTAAAAATAAATTTTCGCAATGGTTTTCAACAACAGAGATTTCAGGCTTATTTTTATAGGTAGAAAATTTCTTGTTTCACTTTTGCATTCAGAAACAAAATGAGTATTTGCTGATCCAGAATTTTCCATGGCAGTCTGTATAATTTCCAACGGATCCATTTCCTGAGGATTCACTCATAATATCTTGTTATAAACAAATCAAATACAATGCTTGGAACAAGTCTGCAATATCAAGCCAGGGTATGTATAATTTTCCTGGGATTTTCCCTTGTTATGAGATAACATAAGAAATGTGATCATTTCCAAAACGGGAAGCAATCCGTAAACAGAAGTAAAGCATGGATAATGCATCTGTCACCTGATACATAACCAGGATGTTTGTATTAGTCAGTATTCATCACAGACAGAGAAGTGGAGGTCAGCAAACCAGCATTTGTATTCTCTATTGTCCTAAGGAATAGTTGAAAGTATTTTTCAGGGACTTTCCAGTATTTCTTTCAATTACTTCCTCTATGGTTTGCAGCATTTATACATTAGAGAGAAATACACTTTTGGTATTATAAGAACAGTAATTTTGAAACTCGAGGAAACAAGTTACAGTTTGTGAGTGAAAAGGCTCTCAATACAAGAGCGGAGATACAGAAAATGCACATGGGAGGGTGAATTTGAGGACAGGGAAATGAAACGAGGTGGTTAGTTGGTTGTCATTACAGTCCTCCTGCCCCGAAATTACTGGTGAAAGAAGGAATTGGAAGAAAGATGAAGTAAAGATGAAGAAAATAGTTGAGGAAAGAATGGACATGTAAACCCCTCCGCTATAGTACATTTAATTGCAAGGAGGGCAGTAGAGAAATGAATGGAAGGTGATGAATACACATGGCAGCTGTAACATGGAATGGCCTTCTGACAGGGTTGTAGAAATACAGTTTTGATGCTAAATGAAGTGACCAAAGGGAGTAGAATCTTACATGAGATTAGCAAAAGGAGAAGATAGACAAAAGCATGTAGTTAGCTGCAGTGAAATCTCAGGGTCTTTCCTTTCATTGTGGTGTGAATGTCCTCGCTCTTACTGCCTGGTCAGCTTTCTGGTATGTCACACAGAGATCACACACACACACATAGACACACACACACACACACATATGAAGACTCTTACTAAATAGTCTGCATGTTTTCAAAGGGTGCAGTTTTCTCCCATGGCTTCTGCATGGCTTGGTACCTGGAGGGCCACAGGGCACATTGTTTAGAGTTCAAGTGCCTGCTACAAACTGATGCCTGAATAATGCGGCTCAAGGAGAGGACTCATGCCAGTCTTACTGCAAAGGGTCTTCAGGAAGAAGCAAGCCAAAGACAACTCTCTTATGATACACAGTTACCTGGCAAAAATCCTTCTGCTGTTTTAAGGCTATCTACATCATAGGTGAAAGGGAAATGAAAGTGTGCATGCCTCAAATAAATGGGTATACACTAGTTTAAAGCAATAGCCTTTAAACCTATGCCCTCTCTCTCTTATTCTCAGTTCCCTCCTGAAGACATCCAGTATGTTGATGGCTTTCATTTGGCTGCCATTGCACTTGGAGCTGCTGAATTGTTAAGCATGGATGTTTTATACTGCTCTGGGACTCCTATGAGGAGACACATTGCACCCATGAGAGCCGTGCTCTTCAGCAGCCCCCTGGGAGAGGACGTGAGGTGATAACAATATGAAGCACCCCAGTTTATCTGCCGGAATCCTTCCTTGGTGTTCTTATGTTCTGTCCCAAAGGGGCCAAGCATCAGTGCTTGTGCAGGATGAGGAGGAATAGCAAGGCCTTTTAAAAGAGGCAGGCATCGTGTACTCAGCACTCTCTGTTTCAGGGATCAGAGTAGGAAGCACTTATTACACAAGGGAAAATGTTTGATATTTAAGTACCCAAAGTAAAGGTCACAAATTCCCATTTTGATAGTCAAATAGGGGCTTCATGATGTAGTAGAGCTTTACAGCTCTGGGGCTGATCTGGACACTGGCAGTGTTTAGGCATCTGAGGGGAAAATTCGCTTGTCTGCAAGGTACTTAAATAAGGAGCCTTGCCCTACAGTTGACCAGTCTCCAAGGACTGGGAATAGCCTGAGGAGAGGAGAGTGAGCATTTTGCCTGCCTTAAGAATTTGTGACTGCATTCAGTCACATCAGGTTACAATAACAGTGTAAGTTATGGTACCATGTACTAAAAATTTTCATCTCTGTTCCAGAAATCAGGATGAGGTGACAAAAATGAAGCTGAATGTTTTGAAATAAAGCAAATGAAAATGTAAAATAACAGATAACAAACAGATGGTTTTTGGTAGAAAACATTTAATAATACGTTGTTAGGAATAATTACACTCACAAGAATATTCTGTGTAAGATGCAATTTTTTTCCATTAGCTAATTGAGTAACTAATTAGACATACAACCAAGTCCTTATACAGAGCAATGAGATTGTGAATTTTTCTTAAGAAATGAATAATAGAAATGGAAAATCTAGTAAAAATGAAATAAATTATCAACATTTTCTCTCTTAGATAGAAACTACTCAATAAATACATTTATAAATACCACAGAAATCACAATAAATAAATAACAAGCCCACTGTCTTACAGATTCTGTAGGCTAGATTTTTAAAGTTAGAAATCACAGTTCACAGTCTAGACAGAGTCTGACTTTGGTTCAGGAAACTGTTGTTGACACAACATACTAGTGCACTCCAGGGGAGCAGGAGGAATTACCAGCTTGCTGGTGTAATAGCAAAATAGTAAGGCTTAGTGTAAATAAGCTGTGCTGCAAGTGCATTGCACTTAACTAGTTAAGTTTGGCTGAAGTGTCTGCCAAGGGTTCTTCATTTCCTATAGCAAACCACTTTTCCTATCCAGTGTCTTCAGTGCCAATGAACAGCATGTCCCACAGACAACACTGGCCATTCTGGAAGACTTTCTTAAATAGATGCAGTTAAATAAATAAATAAATAAATAAATCCCTAATTAACATAATAACACTGATGAAGGAGGTGGAAGATGTTGCACTGCCTAAATGATGCTTTTCCCGAATGTTTCTCTCAACAGATGAGCAGGAGCAGTTCCCAGATTTTCTCTGTCCTGGTGTTTCTTAGAGTGGTGAATCAGAATTGAGCTGAGCCCTGTTAAGAGATGAGGGAAGAGGGTAATTTAAAAGGAGGTTCAAGAATGGTTGTCATTGCTTAGCACTGCATGAACAGTTAAGGATGAATGGTATGTTTCCAACTTTATGTGCTATCTATCCTGAGGCACAGAGAGAATAAGGTTGATGTTTTGAAACTGAAATTCCAATGTGTGCATATCTTGTGCCCAGCTTGGAGACTTCTGCAGCATGATTTTCTACATTTACTTGCATCAAGAAACTCATTAACTCAGAAATATGCATTATTAACACATGCTACTATAAGTAAGAGGAAGATTAATTTTCTAAAGACTCATTTTTCAAAGAGAGCCAAACACTTCTGTGTTCCTTTCCCTCCAGATGGAGTTGCCAGTACTCAAAAGTTTGGCAGTGATGTATTGGCTTGAACAAGGACCCTGCAGCAGTCAGAAAGACTGTGACTAACTCTATAATTAATCAGCAAGTTCCTTGTTCTCTAAACCTGATTAAGAGAAAATGTCAAATATTACTAAGAAATCCTACAAATAGGCTTTTTGGGGAGGTTTACCACTCAACTGCCCAAACTGAGAGGAAATGCAACTTACTTGGCCAAAATTGCCTTTATGATCAGCTGTACCCAGGGAGCAGTGGGCTCCAAGCACACCTCTCTGCCGTCCTTCAGAGTAGCTCTGCAAAACAGGAAATAAAGAAAAGTCAGGAAACTACTACATGAATTTATTTTACTCACAGAATGTAATATTGCATTTTTAGATAAGTTAATATAATTCACCCCAACTGCTCTAGGTTAGATTTGGCCATTTTGTTATATGTGTTCCACAACTGAGGACACTAAAACTGTCCAGAAGTTGTATGGGTCTGTGTGCCTGCTCTCAAAGCATGCACGCATTCCTAAAAATCTTTCACAATATACATGGGTACTTGGTTTGAATTTGTTTACATTAGTAAAGCTTTCTTACACAATGATTGAAACCTCCACTGGTGAAAAGGTGTTTCAGCAGCATAAGGATTTAAACATTTTAGTTTCTTCTCCATGCTATTCAAGACCAGATTAGTTTCATTGTTTCTCTACATCTGCTTGTGGGAACTTAATTTTTCTCTCTGACACTGATGTAGAGTATTTTAATGAGAGTTTTGCCCGCCTAATAAATGCAGGATTTAAACTACATTATTGCCTCATGGATTAAGAACTGACCAGTCCTTGAAATTCATGTTCTAGCACCAGAAATATTTAATATGTCCTATGACAGGTAAATAGTGATCAGTTCAGGAATATGTAAGGTCATAGAGACAGTGAAAAACATGCTGCATTACTTAAAACTCTCTTTCAAAAGAGTAACCAAATCCAAGAACATCATGACAAAGCCCCTGCAGTGGCAGCAGCAGCAGTGTAGGTGAAGAGGAGGGAGGTTCTTGCAGAGCTACTTACATCACTTCAACGTTCTTGCAGTGGGGACCGCTCTGTGTCAGCTTCACATCTTGAATGGACTTAGGAGGGATGAACTTCGAATGAGTGGCTATGCACTGGCACCGGAGCTCAGTTGCCATCCTTGCCAGGCTCATACCTGTGAGAAGGAAGGGAAGATTGTGGTTTGAGAGGTGATCTTACCATCACTCTATCCGACATAAAACATGACTGCTCTATTTTAACAACATTCTCAATTAAAATGCTGCATTTGTCCCAGCTGCCTAAATCCTCATGGTATAAAGATCAGTTGCTCATTTGTTTTGGAGGAACTGATGCCCAAGTACATTTAAAACTAATTTAACACCTCTTTTTAAAATAAACCCACATATTTTGTGGTTACTTGTACTGACCACACTGTACAGTTAACTGCATCATTTTAATACCCAGCTCGACAAACTAACTAACTATACAGAAGATAGAGCCCTAGATTTTTTCATTAATTGGAAACTTTCCCATGCTTCTATGTTCATATTGTTCGTTCCCTTTCCCAGCTGTATATTACTTGCCTGAGGCAGTGTGATCATTAAGTAACAAATATGAGATCATAAACTATTCTTTGTGTGGGAAGGGAGAGAAACATTCAGACACTTAAGGTCCTGTCTCTATAGCTGCATACACTTCAAGTGAAACATAGAAACAAAGCAAATTTAAGTTGCATCCTTAAAATTTTTTCCCACAAGATGTCAGTAACTCTTCAGTACAAGGACTACGTGGTAGATTTCTGACTGAAGAGCAGTTGCTCTTAGTCTCTCCAAAGAAACTAATTTGCTGAAACAAATTTAAAGCTACCTCTCTGCAAAGACAAGCATCTCAGTAGATGCCTTGATGATACTACAGCCATGGGGATCTTGGGAGGGATTTGCTTACCTTGAGACATAGACGCTGAAATCAGGAAGAGAGCCAGGACAGCCACAAGTTTGCCGTTCATGATTAGACAGGAGGTTTTTGCTGGGTTGTTTAGCTCTGGTTCTGTGGAGCAGTAACCTCTTGTCCTGGAGGATTGCTGATGTCTGATCTGGGTGACCCATCTTGCTTATATACCGTTTTGTGCCCGGTTTGTGTGCTCTGCTAGCATGTAGATTGCGTTAGAGGAATTTCCCAGATGCAGTCAAAATGAGTCACATGACTGTTGTGAAACTCCTTCCTAGATGACAAGGAACGAGAATGATATAATGTATTAATTTATTAAAATATGTAAGCAATAGCCATGCATTTCCATTTCTTTTGTAGACTTTTTAAAATTTTGTGCTTTTTCTAATGCATACCCTTATTTAGTAATATAACTTTATGATGGTTTCAGTTACGTTTGTGTTATAACTTTTTATCATTTTCTTCAGGGTGATAACTGTTCTTGGAGATGCCAGATCTATGCTTGATATATTTAATTTCTTATCTTTTTTTATGATGATGGCTTCTACTTACCTGTCTTTAAGTCACTGGACTGGAAATTGGGCAGTGCTGAAATCACTGAAAAACTTTTTCACTGTGTTCAGGGTTTTACCTCAGCATTATTTTGATGTTAACAGTTTTAATTTTTTGTTATTTTCTTTTTTTTTTTTTTCTATTCAAGTAGCATTTTACAAAGTAAATTCATCCCTAATATTGTCTGTTCAGTAAAGGAATTGAGGCTGCAGTATTCAAAGCTTCCTGTAGGAAGCAGATACTAAATTCTGAACAGCTTTGAAAATCATGTCTGCGTTTTTCATGTCACACGAATGATAAACCAAGGAAGTTTTGTATGCAAACAAAATAGCATGACTTGCTGAACACAACTGCTTTTGTTTCCTTTGTATGTCTAGAAATTTTTAGTAAGTCTTTTCTGTAATCTTTTTCAGTGACCATAACCCTAGGTCTTAGCAAGGGAAATAACATTAAGTATTATGGCACTGCTATAGACATTTATGTTAAAGAACCTTGTTGCATGAATGCTGGGTGTTTATTTGCTGTAGACAAAGATATTACCTTGCAAGGGAGACAACTTCAAGGGAAAATGGGCTCAAATGCTGATCTGTTGCTTAAATGAAGAGTCATTTTTTTAACACATCTGGACTTCATGTGATTAGGAGAAGCCATTCTGTTTTGGTGCTGTAAGAACGTCCCTTTGACTAGATGGCTTTTCCAGCTTGTCATCTCCAACCTCAAAACTTCATGTTTCTGTGGTCTGTAGCTTTATAGAGGTACTTCTCCCGAACTCTGAGAGGTTTGTAAAAACTCAATTACCCTTAGCAGTAAAGCAATGTAATTTGTTTATAGTAATAATTTAATAGTTTGCCCATAAATTATTATAGTTTACTGTGTACCATTTGTCATTAACTTACTTGATAAAAGGAAATATGTGGTGAAAATTCATCTGTTTCCCATCACAGTGTCAGCTGTCCCAAGAAAAAATATCACCAAGTTTGTCTCTCCTACCACTTACTGAGTATTGAGTCAACAAAAGATGTGGGTTCTGACTTCTAATGGTTGTTTTCCTTAGCTGTATGACTGAGAGAGCTTTACTGAAAAATACATCTAGTTCTCTGAAGGTGTGAAAAAGAAGAGGATTTTACCAGGTACTAAAGGTTATGTTTTATTGTTTATGTTGTGTATGTTATGTTAAATTAACAGGATGGTTTCACTGGTGTCAGATTGTAGATGCTGGAGCTTTAACCAGTTTATTTGGAATGAGGTTTTGCTGATTCTGTTCTTTTGAGGTTTCTCTGTGTCTTACATGTGTATGCACACATTAATTAAAAGTTGATTAGGGATCTCAGTTACTATTTTCAGCTTTTTTATCTAATTTTGATGTGTGCTGAAATGTCATTAATGTCTGAGGCAAAAAAAGGAAATTCCCCCTCAAATCCCCAAGTAAAACCAATGACTGCTTGTCCTCCTTACCACTAGACTCAGCTATTTCCTGAGTGTGGCAGTAAGGGATTTGCAGAAATCCCCAGGTCAAAAGTGAGGGCAAGAGCCTACTCCACCTATATGATTAACCCTGCCCCTGAGCTAAGAGTAAGTATCTGTCTAAAAGAGCAGGATGTTTGTAATGAAATAAAAATCCACTATGTTTTCCGAGAGCTAAAGCATCTCCTCCGCCTCCACTTCTCTGATGTGACACAGTTTCATCAGGACTATGTAAAGGGGGTGTAACAGAGACAATAATGGCATAAAAAGGTTAAGACATGAGATCAAGCCCAAAGGCCAGTCACTCCTAACCTGTGTTTCTGGGAGTGCCATGCTTTGCCCAGGTTCTCCTGACATCCCTTCAACACTTTGCCCAGGATCTCATCCCAACCCCTGCCTATGGGAACTCCAAATCCTTTATCTGATTTTGGCAGCGTGTGTTTTCCCGCCAGCCATCAGAGATGACTTGTGCAAATGGAATTGCTGCTCCTCTTGAAGGATAACGTCACTGAGTGAGCTGATACAGCTACAAGCAGAGACCTTCCATGCTTAACCCTGTTAAAAGCACGCTTGTAACGAACAAAACAACAGTTATGCAATAGTCCAATTACTGAAAGACTGCTGAAAGGGGAAGTAAATACTGCCCTTGCCTGTGTTTTAAGGCAGGGTATAGGATGTGTTCACTGTCCTGCAGGATGGAAAATAGTGGTTTTTCGTTTTTATGACTCATTGCCTTGTGTAATGAATACAAAAGTCAAAAGGAAATCTTTTGGGATCTTGACTGAGGTTGTTTAGCATCTGAATGTAGCAAAGGACCCCCAAACACAAGGGACACAGTGAGGGGGATTCATGTGTTCTCTAGTGACCAAGACCATCGTGAGGGATGGGGGCCAGCTGGGCTTCAGTCCCTTACTGTTTTGAGTCGCTTCAGTTCCAGAGGAACGCTCCAGCCTCTGGGCTGATAAAGTTACTCTCTCTAAGAAACTTAAGAATCCATCTTGTTTTAGTCAAATTCAAACCTCTCACTTGAGAAACTGTGCACGCAATCCCCCAAATACCTGGAAGACAAAGCTTTCACTGGAATCAGAGTTCAGCCTGTGCAAGGTGAACTTTGTCAACTCCTGTCTCTTGTGCGTCCTCTCTACCAGCTCCTCTTGTTCCCCAGGGAAAAAAATCCCACTTTGTTTTCTGAAAGCACCTCCTTTTCCCCACAAAGGGCTTGGCCTTCGCATGCCATTGCACTTGACCCATGGAGAGCAGAAAGAGCAAATACAAGGGCTGGGAAATAATTGCTTCTGATGCTTAAAAACTGGGCACTGTGTTGTGCAAATGCTTTTGGAAGTGAAGCAAAGCATAGGGAGCAGATATGTAATAAGCAGAATGTCTTCTAAACATCTGGGTTTTGATTTGCTATATGAGGACATGATAGCAAGAAAAGAAGTTTAGGGTCAGCTTGTGATTTTTAAATATAGGTGGTTATGTAGCCTTAGTCAGATCATGGCAAGTGCTGGACCTTCCTGAACTCCTCTGGAATCACAAAATAGCAGCACAGCTTTTTAGTTGCTTTGCCTTTTAGTGTATGTATTTATAAATACAATAGCATAAGTATATATTTATGTGACTGAATATTTATTTATGATATATGTTTCAGCTCTGCTTGAAAACAGTCAATTCTGTATTGTAGCTTTCAGTTAAAAAATTATTGTGGGTTAAATGAAATGTTTCGTTTGATTAATTCAGTATGAAAGGTCATTGACAGTATAAAGGTGTCTATTAATATTAGAAAATTATACACTAATACTCATTCTAATATTAACATCAAATATTAGCAAATATTAACAAATATTCAGATTAAAAATAAATTAAATCTACCTGGTATTAACAGAGGAGATACTAAATCCAGCTAGAGAATTGAAACTAGCAGCTGGGGTTTCACCTGCTCTGTGAAGTTGCATTTATTGCTTTAGTTGCATTTCCTTTTCATGAGTTTGGCAGGAAGAATTTTCTGACTGTGGAAACAAGATATGGAAGTGGCGGGAGGAAACACATGGTAAGTTTCAAGAAGTTCATGCTGGGAACTTTTGATTAAATTGGAAGTGGTCAGTAGACATACGTCATGTCTACTACTTCTCTGACTCTTAAAATGTTGCCTGCTGTCTTCTTGGTGTCTGATTAAACGACAGCCAATGCAGCTTGGCAGATGCAAGCCTGCACACTTCCTGGCAGTGCAGTTACGGTGAGGTGATAAGAGATATTTTCTGGATGGCTGCATAGAGATGGAGGGTTTCTGTGTAGCACTCAGGTGAATGCAGGTAGATAGCCTGCCTGTGAAAGAAGTGGAAAAATGTAAACACCCGAATCTTAAATAAAAATATACTGTTTGGTATTATAAATGAGATCTGTTTTGCATAAAAGCTGTTAAATATAAACTTGCTGACCCATTGGATCTCAAGCTGCTGGACAGGTCAAATCTTACTGTTCACCAATAGGAGGGGTGGCAGCAGTGGGAAGGAACAAACAATTACTGTTGTATTTAGTCAGCTTACAAGTGCAGATTTGAGTCCACAGTTGCTCTGGGTAGGGGTTCCAGTGGGGGTCAGTCCCTATCAAGAACAAGACTGTCCTTAAAGAGTTTCTTAAATGTCTGTTTGCAAGTCTGATGTTCAGTCTAGCCTGCAGCTATCCCACAAGCCCCAAACCTCACTCTCCCACCCTGTGGCTCAGAAGATCAAACTCCACAGGGCAGTCATCATATTTTTATGTGCAGTCCTGCATTGCACTGACCATGTATCTCTGGTCTGATGATTGCTGCTAGAATCTGCACTTTAGTCCTTTCTATCCTCAGAAATTAGATTTATATTGCTGGGCATAAACAGTGTGTAGCAAATCATTAAGGGAAAATGTCTTTGACACCCTTTTTGACTGTAGAAATAAATTAATAATAAATGCAATGGGAATTAACAAATTAAACCAATGTTTAGTCTTATAAGCATTCTCCTGGACCTTTGAGCAGTAACCTTTAACATAATAAATACGCAAGCTGCAAAATCCTTTTGCAAAGCGAAAAGTGTGGTCCATTTTGTCAGATAAAAATAATGTGGGAGAAAAAAATGGAAAAAAGAAAAAATGTGTTCTTTTCAAAAATATGACTTCTTTTTCTATATATGTGTCTCTCTGCC